GATGCTGCTTGGCCTGCTGTGTTCATCCAGCCCTGCACCTTGTTGTCTCGGATTCTCCAGCATCTGCAGTTCCTACTATCTCTGATTCAATTATACTGTGATATTGGGTTCAGGTTACACTAAATTCTTGACTCTCATTTCCATACCTCTCCACAATGATCTTTAGCTAGCTTCACCAGCTCTGCATGCAACCGGTTGCGTTTTTCATTAGATAGGCCTTTTGCTCTCTTCAGCTCAATTTCTGGAGGTCTGTGGGAATGACAGTGGAGTAGCATAAATAAAGGATCAGTCCAGATATGGTGCATAAAGCTAGCCTCTGCTTCAGCCAGCGTTGCTGATTTCACCAACTCAATGCCAATGACAAAGGCACATGTCAAAAATTTCACTGTCCCTGAGCTTGCAAATTAAGAGTACTTTTCTTACCAGTTTTACCTCTTCCCCTTGACTGAAGACTTTGTTTACTGGTGTATATCCAATAAGGGAGCACTCAACACTTTGCTGCCATATAACTGAAACAGCCAATTCTTATACCTGAGCCATCAGATACAGATAGCAGACCATTAAGTCGAGAACATCATATTTGAGCCAAAACTATTCACGCTTAGACATGCAAGCACACTTAACCTCAAGATGGGAGCCCATAGAATTTTGCTCTCAGCTCCAACTTTAATCAGCATGAGAACAGAACTTGAGATTGAAGGAGCTGTTAGTTGGAGGTTAAGAGTTTACAAAGACAATATCTTCTCAGTTTTCTCTATTTTTGACTGTGGACTGAAATGGGAAAAGAACTATTTTAAAAAAAAGGATTGTAGAAGGTTCTTGCACTGATTAAAAGGAAGCAACCTGAAACTCGTTATAAGTCTCGTTTGCAAAGCTGCTGATTCAAGCAGTAGCAGAAGCCTGGTTTGCAGATGAGCTGGAGCCAAGAGGTATATATAAACGGAGCTTTGGCTGGCAACAAGTACGTGATTTGTCTGTTAACTAGTAACTAGTTATCAATGACAAAGGCTTTCTGTCTGCAAATTGCTATGTGCTTGGCTCCCAGGTAATGAAACAACTTGGGGGCGTGAATCAAAAACAGAAATTGCTGGTGATACTCAGCAGATCCGGCAGCATCTGTGGGGAGCCGCTTTCTGCTTGGGGAAGTGATGACCTAGTGGTATTATCGCTGGACTGTCAATCCACAGATCCAGATAACATTCTGGGGACCCAGGTTCGAATCCCACCATGATAAATGGTGGAATTTGTATTCAATGAGAATCTGGAATTAAGAGTCTAATGATGACCATGAAACCATTGTCAACTGTGGGGAAAAACCCACCTGGCTTTAGGGAAGGAAACTGCCATCCTTACCTGGTCTGGCCTACATGTGACTCCTGACCCACAGCAATGTGGCTGACTCCTAACTGCCTTTTGGGATAGGCAACAAATGCTGGCCTAGCCAGCAATGCCCTCATCCCAGGAATGAATTTTTTAAAAAAAAGCTTCCAGGCTGAGTTCTTCCAGCAATTCCTGTTTTTGTTTCAAATCTCCACCATCCGCAGTTCTTTGTTCAATTTAGGGGAGTGAATGATTGGAAGAAGCAATTGCATCTCCCAAGGTAGGAGCTGTCTCTTCTCTCTGCAGTAAAAAGCATCTCAAGCCTGAAGATAGCCAGACTTTTTTTTAAAACCATTTCTGGTTGCTGTAAGCTGCAATTTATAAACGTCTTTGTTTTATCAATTAAAAGTGGGAATCAGTCACTCTAGGTCTCCTACAAAGAGGTGAAAGTATCTGGAGCATATAGCTTTTAAAACAGCATTCTGGTCAGCACAAGAATCAAGTCAGCAACCCTTGTGGACAATGATCTCTGGACTCCTCGTCTTTCACACTCCCCACACTTCCCCTGTCCATGTCTGTGTGTATGTGTTTGTAGAACAGGTTACAGTTTTAACTAGCAGAGTTACATGCCAACAGTTTGTATTTGTTTAACTGTAGTTAGAATTTGATTATTTATTACAAGTAAATATTCTTCTTACATACAGAAGCCTAGTCTGTGCTTTCTGTCAAGCTGGCTCAAAAAAAAACAGGTAAATTGGGGAATTCTGCATGCTTTCTAACAAGCTCTAACTTTTGTGACAACTCCAAGAATAGTGAGGCTTGATTCCCAGTATGCTACTCCAGTGAGGTGTATCAAGTTGGAGTCAATTTTGCATGTTTTTTGGTTCAGTCTCTAATTAAATAGACTTACTGACCCACATGGTCTGGACTCAATCGGCAACACCACCAGAAAATGCAACACAAAACCACATCTGTGAGTACACAAATTATCTGCACAGGTCACAAGAAAGAAAAGTAAACACGAATAACAGATTACAGCACGGGCACCAACCCTGGCAGTCATTAAGAGTCAAAAATATACACTCGTGTTACTGTATCTGGATGTACAACAATTCACCAGGATTTGACACGTGAAGGCAGTAGCCATTCTGAACTTTGTTCAAATGACGCAAATGCACTCACAAACGTGACTCAGTCTAACTTGCAAATAAAATTAAGGTTTTGTGCTGTTTAAATAGGTTGAGTTCAAATGTTGACTGGTGTCAAAGGCATGGGGGGAGAGTGGGAATATGGCATTGAGATAGAAGATCAGTCATGATCATTTTGAATGGCAGAGCAGACTTGATAGTCCAAATGGCCTACTCCTGCTTTTATTTTCTATGCTTTATGACTGACAGGACAAATAGATGGGGGTAGGGTAATAGAAGAGAGGAATGGGGGGAAGGGAGTAAAGGTTTCAATGGTGTGGTAATGGGGCTGGCAGCTAAAATGCTGAGTCAGTGGGAAGGTTACAATCAATAGGAACTGAAATAGATTACTCAGCTCCTCAAGCCCACTTAAAATGTAAATCATTTGACTCTAAAGGCTAATGTGTTCCTCAACTCCATTTATCCACCTTTGATCCATATCCCTTCGTATTCTTATCCAAGAAAATCTCTCTCTTCCCGACTGAAAAATTCCAACTGACCATCCAATCTTTCGGAGAGTGAGTTCCAGATTTTTATTATTTTGTGTGGAAAGTATTACATGTCTTAGCTCTAAATTACATAGAACATAGAACATTACAGCGCAGTACAGGCCCTTCAGCCCTCGATGTTGCGCCGACCTGTGAAACCAATCTGAAGCCCATCTAACCTAAACTATTCCATTATCATCCATATGTTTATCCAATGACCATTTAAATGTCCTTAAAGTTGGCGAGTCTACTATTTTTGCAGGCAGGGCATTCCACTCCCTTACTACTCTCTGAGTAAAGAACCTACCTCTGACATCTGTCCTATATCTATCATCCCTCAATTTAAAGCTATGTCCCCTCGTGCTAGCCATCACCATCCGAGGAAAAAGGCTCCCACTGTCCACCCTATCTAATCCTCTGATCATCTTGTATGTCTCTATCAAGTCACCTCTTAACCTTCTTCTCTCTAACGAAAACAGCCTCAAGACCCTCAGCCTTTCCTCATAAGACCTTCCCTTCATACCAGGCAACATCCTGGTAAATCTCCTCTGCACCCTTTCCAATGCTTCCACATCCTTCCTATAATGCGGTGACCAGAACTGTACGCAATACTCCAAGTGCGGCCGCACCAGAGTTTGTACAGCTGCAACATGACCTCATGGCTCCGAAACTCAACCCCTCTGCCAATAAAACCTAACATACTGCACGCCTTCTTAACAATGCTATCAACCTGGGTGGCAACTTTCAGTGATCTATGCACATGGACACCGAGATCTTTCTGCTCATCCACACTACCAAGAATCTTACCATTAGGCCAGTACTCTGTATTCCTGTTACTCCTTCCAAAGTGAATCACATCACACCTTTCCACATTAAACTCCATTTGCCACCTCTCAGCCCAGCTCTGCAGCTTATCTATGTCCCTCTGTAACCTGCAACATCCTTCCGCACTATCCACAACTCCACCGACTTTGGTGTCATCCGCAAATTTACTAACCCATCCTTCTACGCCCTCATCCAGGTCATTTATAAAAATGACAAACAGCAGTGGCCCCAAAACAGATCCTTGAGGTACACCACTAGTAACTGAACTCCAGGATGAACATTTCCCATCAACCACCACCCTCTGTCTTCTTACAGCTAGCCAATTTCTGATCCAAACCGCTAAATCACCCTCAATCCCATGCCTCCGTATTTTCTGCAATAGCCTACCATGGGGAACCTTATCAAACGCTTTACTGAAATCCATATACACCACATCAACCGCTTTACCCTCATCCACCTGTTTGGTCACCTTCTCAAAGAACTCAATAAGGTTTGTGAGGCACGACCTACCCTTCACAAAACCGTGTTGACTATCCCTAATCAAATTATTCCTTTCTAGATGATTATAAATCCTATCTCTTATAATCCTTTCCAACACTTTACCCACAACCGAAGTAAGGCTCACTGGTCTATAATTACCAGGGTTGTCTCTACTCCCCTTCTTGAACAAGGGGACAACATTTGCTAGTCTCCAGTCTTCTGGCACTATTCCTGAAGACAATGACGACATAAAGATCAAAGCCAAAGGCTCTGCAATCTCCTCTCTCGCTTCCCAGAGAATCCTAGGATAAATCCCATCCGGCCCAGGGGACTTATCTATTTTCACACCTTCCAGAATTGCTAACACCTCCTCCTTATGAACCTCAATCAAAATTGTTCCTTGTTGTTCTAGTCATCCACCTGAGGAAATACTACCAAATTCATTTTTAATTTCAAACACTTCATTTAGATTACCCATCACCTTCTAAACTGTAGAGAATAAAAATTAGAAACCAGCCCTCATAATTCAACACAAACTCTGGATTAATTCTGGTGAATCTATGCTGTATCCACTCATATGGTGATTTCATTCTTCCTGAAACACAACGGCCAAATCAAAGCACAGCAATCGGAATGCCTGTGTAGAAAGAATTCACAAAGTGGTTTGATCGTTGGGACAGGTTATTTGAAGTGTCAGTGAATGTTGCTTGCAGCTACATTTCTGAATCAACAAAGCAGTCTGGACAGAAATTGGAGAATGGCATTACAATCTCAAGCTTATCAAGCGTAAAGGCCATAAGTATCATTGTTCACTTGTCTGTTATGTTTTACACAGGCAAGGTGTTTCATGGGAGGGGTAAAGGTCTTTAGTTCTAACGCAAGGGCAAAATGTTGCACAAGGGAAGTGTAATACGTGCCAGTTGTCAACAGCATCTCCTGCTGAAGGTCTACTAAAGGAAGGACACAAATCTAGCCACAAAAGCTACCGTTTGTCAAATAAGGGCAAGAAGCAGCTAATTCAGCAAGCGTACAGCAGCCACTCATTCCTGTGCTGACTCTAAATTTTGAATATTGTTTTGTTAAAGTGTCTTTCTATATCTGCATCACAGACCTCTTTCCTTGTATGCACTTATTTGGCTGGTGTCTGCTGGCACAATAAAAAACATGACAGGTATTAACTAGAGATTATGAAACTGTGGTTATATCAACCCCTTCACAGCACAGGAAATTCAGATTCAGGCAAATTCGAAGAGACTAAGCCTGCTTAGAGATAATGTTGTTTAGCTGTGGATGGAATTACTGTGGACATATCTACAAACCAAGGACTACAATGGTTTAAGGAGCCACCTCAGTACCACCTTACCAAAGGCTTTAGGAATGGGCCTAGCCAGTGACAGCCACATTCTGCGATCAATATTTTCAAAAAAACTATTAACACAAAAAATGCCTGGAGAAAGAAATTAAATTTCAAGTTGTAACAAATCTCTGAACTGGCACCAGGTTGCAATTTTCTTTCCACAAAAAACAACTTTAAACTAGACACAGCACCGCAAATGCATTCCCCTTAAATTTCCTCCACACAAAAAATACAAAAGAAATCTGGATCTGCAAGTAAAAGGTCTGCCTTTTACCACAGAGAGTCTGTTGCATTGGTTGACAGGACAACGAGTATGTGAACCAGTTTCGTTTCCCAGTAGTCAAAGCAGTCAGCATAGTTTCATGAAAGGGAAATTACGTCTGAACCATTTATTAGAGTTTTTTCAGGAAGTCTTAACCAGAGCAGATAGAGGAGAACCAGTAGATGGTTGTATTTGTACTTCCAGAAGGTGTTCAACAAGATACCTCATAAAAGATGAAGTCATAAGAGCGCATGGCACTGGAGGTAGTACACTGAGAATTGACTACTGGGTAGAGAATTGACTAATGGGCAGGAAACAGTGAGTGGAGATAAGGGGTTATTTTAAAGGTTAGCAATCTGCAACCAGTGGGTTTCCACAGGGATCACTACTGGGACCACAATGTTTACAATATATATTAAAGACTTGGAGCAAATATATTGTAGATTTTCAGATGACATAACAATTTGCAGAAAGACAAGTTGTGAGAGGGCTACAAACGATTTAGACAGATACTGATAGATTAAATAATTGGGCAATAAGTTGGCGAATGGAGTATAATGTGGGAACATATGAAGTTGCTCATTTTATTAGGGAGAACAAATGAACAGAGCATTACTTACATTACGTGGTAGAAAAAAAACTACAAAAAGCTGCAATACAAAGGGACTTGGGTTACTTGTACACAAAATCATAGAATCACAGAATCCCTACAGTGTGGAAGCAGGCCATTCAGCCCATCAAGTCCACATCAACCCTCCGAACAGCATCCCAACCAGATCTAACCCCCTACCCTATCCCTATAGCCCTGCATTTCCCATGGCTAGTCCACCTAGCCTGCTCATGTTTTGACTGTTGGAGGAAACCAGAGCACCCAGAGGAAACCCACAGAGAGACAGGGAGAATGTGCAAACTCCACACAGACAGTCACCTGAAGAAGGTGCAGCAGGTAATAAGGAAGGCTAATGGAATTAAATTTATTTCAAAGGGGTTGGAGTTGATAAGAGTAGGGAAGTATTACTGCAAGTGTACAAGGTGCTGGTGAGACCACCTCTGGGAGTACTGTGAGCAGTTGCGATCCCCTTATGAAAGGAAAGTTACAATTTCATTGGTGGCAGCTCACAGAAAGTTCACTAAGATGATCCCTGGTGTGGAGGGGTTGTCTAATGAGCAAAGGCTAAACAGGTTGAGACTCTACTCATTGAAATCTAGAAGAATGAGAATGTATCTCATTGAAACATATAGGTTTCCTTAAAGGGTTTGACAGGGTAAATGCTGAAATGGTGTTTCCTCTCATGGGAGAGTCTAGGATCAGAGGGCAAACTCTCAGAATCAACGGGAGCCCATTTAAGACCGGGTTAAGAGGAATTTCTTTTCTCAGAGGGTTGAAAGTCTTTGGAACTCATCACAGAGAGCTGTGGGGGCAGAGTCCTTGTGTATATTTAAGGCTGAGATAGATGGATAGATTCTTTATCATTAGGAGAATCAGAGGTTACGGAGAAAGGGCAAGAAAGTGGACATGAGCAGCGTCGAATCAGGCATAATCCGACAGAATAGCAGACCTGGCTTGGGGGTACTGAAGAACCTACTCCAGTTCCTATTTCTTATGTTCTTATGGCCAAGCAGCTAGCTGAAAATGGCTCATATGACAACATTGTGTTGTCTACCTCTTCCTTTGTTTCCAGCAACCTTAACTTAAGGTTTTGAAGTAGATTTGTAGCTCGGGTTGTGGGTGTTGAGGTTGGTTGGCTTGCAGAGCTGGTTTGTTGTTCTGCAGACGTTTCGTTACCATGCTGGGTAACATCATCAGTGCAGCCTCTGATTAAGCGTCGGTGTGTTTTCCCGACTGGTTTTTAAACTCTGGAGTCCGTTGAGCTGGATTGCCTCACTTCCGGTTTTCCTTTGTAGTGGAGTGTATAAGGGGTCGAGTTCCACATCGGACAAACAGGAAGGCAGCTAACAACAACCTTCCCTTCTGACTGGACTTTACCCTTCTCTCCCAGCGGGGGGTTGCCTACAAAACATTGCTTGGTGCCCTCGTATCTTATTTGCCAGACATTGTTCATTAACGTAAGCACTTTTATTCTTAGGTTTCCCATTTATGCTATTAACACATAATAGCAATAACAGCATTCCTCACCCGCACCCCCTCCAACACTGAAATGAAGTTATCAAATTTCTTTCAATCTATAGAGCTGTGTTTTTTTTAAACAGTATCTCGTGGTCATCAGTGCCTCAATAGCTTCACTGAGGTACAAATTTGCTGTGCACTGAACTGCAAGTGCAACAATGTGTGCAGTTATTCAGTTGCATAGCCTGTCAACTGTGCGCACAATCCCACCAAATTCCAAAGTTCTGATGGAGAGAAGAGCGGGTACTCACACATCTGGGTATTGGGCTGGGCAATTAACATGTAAATCCACAGCAACATGACTGTCTGTAACATTGATCAATCCCTGAGGGTGCAGCACAATGCAGATTTCTGGAGGACGTTTCACCTGGAACAGAAACCTTGATTCAGAAATATAAGCAATAGGCCAACTCCCTCCCTCTATCTGTTGATCTATTCCCACAACCTCACTCTGCACAATTCCTGATCCCCCACCCCATTTCATTATTAATCCCCTCCCCTCCCCTCCATTCCCACTACCCTCATCCCGCAGTCCTTCTTGCAAAGCAGCCTCAGATCTGCCTCTCCATGTCTCCCTCCCTGCTACCACTTTCTCAAACCCCACTCAATCCCTACATTCCCATGCCTCAAGTCCTTCCCCCTCCCTCAATTCCCTCTCCCCGCATACCACTCCCACCTCATCCCCCTTTACCTCTATACCCTAAATTTCCCTTGAATAGCAATGTCACCCGATTGCCACATCCTCTCCCTCCACAGCTCATATTGCACCTCCGCCTACCTTCACCTCTACCCTCAACAGTCCCTCCTCTTCCCTCTCCTCCCCCTTCCAGCCGTCCCCACTCCATCTCCTCTCGCCTCCAATCCCCCTCCTCTCGCCTCCATCTCCTCTCGCCTCCAATCCCCCTCCTCTCGCCTCCAATCCCCCTCCTCCCGCCCCCCCCCCCCCCCCCCCCCCCCCCCCCCCACACACACACACACACACACACACCTTCCATGGGTCTTGCTCCCGGAGATCACTGAAGTCCTGGCCATAGATGGCGTTCAGGGCCTGCACCTCGGCCTCCTGTTGCTCCGAGTGAGATTCCTGCTGGGGCCCGCTCATGCTGGGACCTAATGCCGCCGCGGGGCTCGCGGGACGCGGCCGGGCCGCCAGGAGCCGGAGCTGCTCCTCATCGTTCCGTTTGACACCCCCCACCCCGCACCCACTTCACCCGGAACCGCAACCGCGGGCCCAGGCACCACCTCCGGATCACCAATGGCCGGTGCTGTGTAACCCCGGGGCACCCCCCCCCCCCCCCCCCCCCCCCCCCAAACTCCTCAGCCCGAGCCCGTTATCTGAATTCCCTTTGCCCAAACCACGCTTACCCCATCCCCTCTTTCACCTCCCTTATTCTCCTCTTCTCCCCCTTCCCCCCCGTCCCTGTTTTCGCCTCTTTTCACCCCCATTCCTCTATTCCCTTTCCCTATTCTCCACCCCCATTTCCCTCTCCCTGGGCAAGAGCGGTTTCCCAATCCTCCCTAGCAGGCAGGCATGAACCCCTTTTCCTTCAGGTCACAGCTTGCTCCATGGTTGTCCAAGGCAGCATCGGGTGACCTTGGCGTACATGCACCGTGAAAGCCTTTTCTATATTTCCTTCCTCCTGTCATCAGAGTCCATCTTTTTTAAACAGAAATCAATTGCAAGTTAGACCTTATAAATATATGACAAGACAGTATTGACCAGCTTGCTGGCTGTTCTCAAAGAGGTGCTGTCATCCCCTTTGGGAAGGGTCTAATTGAGTGATTTAAATTAAATGATTAAAAAGCTGGATTCAATGCATAGAGGCTATTTCCTCCAGGGAGGGTGTCCAGATCAATGCGGCAAAAAATAGTAATTTAGGAGGGAAATTAGAACATACTTTGGTACACAGAAGGGAAGAATCTGGAATAGTCTTCCAAAAAATTCTGAAGATGCTAACATAGTTACATTTTCAAGATTGAGATCAAGATTTTTAAGGCAAGAGAACAAGCGACTCTGGAGAAAATGCAGGCAGATTAAGTTAAGGTGCAATCTAATTATATGGCAAAATAAGTTTGAGGGGTTGAATTTGTTTCTGACCCTCCTGTTCAGAAGCCCCCTCTTTAGTATTCTCTTAGCCCTTGAACATTATTCCTTTCTGCCTTTGGCAATATACATGAGGTTAAGAAGTCAAGTTGCTATGCTCTGTAGCTCCTACATCCACAGCACTCTCATTGTAGACTGAGGCAGTGATATACCAGGGATAATGTTACTCAAATACAAGTTGTAACTCGAGGGCATACGTAGAAATACGTCATTGGAACCTGAGATAAGCCTTTGGTGAATGATGGACGACGAACATTGTATCCTGTTCTGGCCCTGATACAATGAATAGAGTTGAGAAGTCCAAATATGATTCTCAGTTATAATGAACAGGAACCACAAGAACTGAATTAATTCTCATTGAAAACTTAAAACTGTTTAGAACAAAGTCCTATACAAATTACCTCAATGATGACTTTCAAGCAGTTCAATAAATGTGAACAATGGTTGACATATTCATGGAGACATAGATGTTCCTGGGCTGACAAAGATTCGCAAAGCTTAACCAGCCTGGGTGATTCTTTTTTGTAAATAGCATAAATCGGAACTGATAAGGACTGCCTCAAAATAGGCAGAGAGACACAGGAAGAGACTCCCAATAGAATGGGATACTCCCAGTAATTTGTCTCAGCACAGTACTGGATGTTCCTGCACAACAGCAAGACACCGAGTGAGGGGAGATTACCAACACAAGAAAACCCCTTATTCTGTTGCATCACATCACAACTGCACAAGAGTTAGGACAAAATGTGAGGTTGTAGCAATCTGAAGAGATTATGACCCGTTAAAACTGGCAGCAGTATCTTGCAGTGGGAGCTCTCGATGAGAACCTAGCAGTTCCAGGTCAACTGTACTGAAGAAAGTTTAACGTCACTGCGGACTGCAAAGCAATTGCAAAGTAAGTTTTCTAGTTTAAATTTGTTTAACCATAGCCCAGACCATTTCTCCTCAGAGCTTCTGATTTATAATTTTTATTTCAATTAGTGCAGGTGAAGAGTTCTAGACAGTTCTGGTTGATTTGAAACTCCAACACTATTTTTCTCTCTCCACAGTTGCTGTCTCACCTAATGAGTTTTGTTTTAATTTCTTTTTTTTCCCAGATTTACAGCATCTGTAGTATTTTTCATTTAATCCCATCATTTGCAGCAAAAGCTCTTCTGTTTCGGTCTAACTCTGACAACCCTTATCTCAACCTCAACTCCAACCCAAATAGCTATCTCACAGGGCAGATCACTGCCTAATTTTCAGTGGCAAAATTTGGTAGTTGGGCAAACAAACTTAAGGTGGACATCGCAACTGTTGCTCAATTTAACTGAAATTATTTGAGGTGCAGTGAAATTATGCTTAGACTGAGACCAATCTGTCTTGGGTGTACGTTAGTCACAAAGCCTGGAGTGGTCAGACTTGGAGTGTAAACTCATTATATGGAAGCAGTACTAATAGACAGGATTTCCAGATCTGCTAACAATTCGACATGCAGTTCTACAGCATTGGAAATAGTCATGATATAAATAGCATTTTGATAAATAAGACACAGACACAGTGATAGCTTTTTAACATCCAAACCATTCTTCCTAACATTTAGTTAACCATTAAAGGTAGAAAAAAACTATTTACATAACAAAGGCAAATAATTAAACTCAGAAAACTCCATTTTAATTTCTCACAGAGCATGAGGAAAATAAAATTTGCTACTCTCCTATAATACAAGTGGTAATCCAGGAAGCAGCCTGCAGCAAGCTCTGGCCTTGATACTTACCCTTTCATAGACACAGTTAAGGAGAGTATAAAAAACTAAATTTGGCTTTCATGATACTCAGATCATTTGACTCCCCAATATTGTATGAGGCTTTGACGCAACTGAAGCATCAGAAGCTTGTTTTGAGTTGTATACAGTCAATAAAGCATGGAAGAAGCTAATTCATTCTCCTTCCAGGTCTTGTTTGTATCTTAATGGCTTTGTTCTCAGTGGAGCAGACCCACTTTCTCCATTTCACACCTAGCATGTACACCAAATTTACATCTCTAACTCTCCTTTGTCACCAACAGCTCTTTTGCTCTGGGCACCCTCACTACGTGTTCCACTTGCTCCTCTTCCCCCCACCCCACCCCCCCAAACCAATCTCTGTCAACAACATTAAACTCACTACGCTCCAACTTCTTTCAGTTCTGAAGAGTCATATCAGACTCGTAGCACTAACTCTGATTCTATCTCTCTACAGATGCTGAGTGTCTCTAGCATTTTCTATTTTTATTTCAGATTGCCAGCATCCACAGTATTTTGCTTTCATTTGTGCCTTTCCTGTATCTCCTCTTTGTCAAAAGTTTGGCCTGTACGATGTCTCAAGTACCTTGTCTTTCACTACAACTTCAGTAGCATCTTCTTCCATTGTTAAAGACAGATGAAAAGTATTAATTTAGTACCTTAGCCATACCCTCTGTCTGCATGCATAAATTCCCTTTTAGGTTCCTAATCAGACCCTCTCCTCCTTTTACCACCCTTTTACTTTTTGTATGTCGAAAGAAGGCTTTCAGATTTCTGTCCTCTTAGCCTGCTCTTCTCCAAGGAAAAAAGTTCCAACTTCTCCTATTTATCTCCAAACCTGAAGTTTGTCATCCCTGGAGCCATCATGCACTCCAGTGTGTTCACATCCCTCCTGAAAGTGTACACAATACTCCAGCCGAAGTCAAACTGTTTTTCTCTTTGTCCACAGACAATGCCTGACATGATGAGTATTTTTTATTTCCATCTCTTAAGACAGGGGAGGCTTTGTCTTGTAGGGTCCTCTGAAATGAGACAATGCCACTAAATACCACTTGCCTAACCTAATGTCAACTGCTCTTGTGTAGGACTGTGAAAAGACACATTTGCAATAAGTTATACAAATGTTGGTGAGTAAATGATGAGCAACATACAACAAGAAAGTGAATAAGTGTTGAAGTATTTTAGGAGTCCTGAAACACTGATGTTATTTCAGTATAATCTCCATAAACAATGCATAGTGAGAACAATTAATTTGGGGAGGTTCAGTTTCAGAGAGAAGATGTGACCCCAGCACTGTCATCCAGGAGTACATCCAACCAAAACTGGCAACTGTACTGAGCAGCAGATCAGGGTATTGGGGATGGAACAGCCCTTTCAGATAGGAGAGGGGGATGGATTCATTTACTGGTGGCATCACGCTCAGGATGTCAGAAATGGTGGAGGATGCTCTGTTGAAATTCAGGTTTTAGTGGGATATAAGGAAGAATCCTATCATGGTTCCAGAATGGGATAAGAGGAGAACTGCAGGGAATGGGATGGACAGGGTGGAGGAGCCTGACAATCATGCTGGTGGTGGTGGTCATGGGGGCGGGGGGGGTGGAATTTCTCAGTCAAAGAAAAATGAACATATATCAGAAGTGTAAGTATGGGAGCTTACACCTTTGGAGCAGATGCAATGAAGACAGAGGAACTGGGAGAGTGGAATAGTCATGGCAGGAAGTCAATGTAAGGAAGTGTGGTCAGGGTAGTTCTGTTGTGTGGCAAGTTCAGAGGGTGACAGATTAGTGTGAGTGGGGGGAGCATAGAAATTGTGACGGCTGCCGACAATCCTCAATGAAAAGGTCTTGAGGGTAACAGACCAGTGGGAGAGGTACAGGTGAATAGCAAATACTGGAAATGGACAAGAAGGTTCAGTGAGTAGGTAGAAAATGTTGGCAGTGACACTCAAAATCCCATGAATGAATAACAAAAACTAATGTCTTGGAGCAAAGCTTCCCAAAGCTCAGGATCCCCTGAGCTAACATTTTGAGATTGTAAGGTCTGGGACAGCAATGGCTGCGATGGAGCTGTGACCAAACAATAACAGCTGTACTCCTTTCTAATAGGAGTCTGGTCTCACAGCACAAAACCCTACCCCACCATGCTCACAGTAACCCACGCCCATTCTCTCAGAGGGGCCACAACAACGTTCGAGCCTCAAAATGGGGTCACAGTGGAAAAACGTTTGGGAAGTATTGCCTTGAAGGAGTCTGCAATTGAGAGTGAATCAAAATTGTGGAATTTCAATTGGAATTCATGCGAAATTAGGTAAAGATAGTTGCAGAGGAAGGAGATAAGGCTGTGAAAGTAGGTTTTGATACCTGATCAAACAATTAAACAGGAAATAAAAAGCAATGAAGCTGAACAAGATAAAAGAAACAAGCAGAAATTCTGTCAGAGCAAAGCTTCTTCAACGTGGGCATTCCTAAGATAAAAGTAAAAGTGAAAGAGACACTATTATATGTAAAGAAGAAACTGACAGTAAGTGAAAAACAGAGTTAACGTTTTAGGCCTATGACTTTTCATCAAACCTCTGTAAGATTAGAAATGTAATAGGTTTCATCCTGTCTTAATATCTGGTCTTCAAATGTAGGCTACAGCTCAACTCCTTTAATTTACTCACTTAAGATCAAGTTAACAAAGTTTATGTTGTTTCCATCTCAGAGTTTCAATTGCTTCACCAAGCAGACAGCACAGACATAGAGTCACACCAGGCCACCTGGACGGAAGTTGCTTGTCAATTTGAGAAGGTCAATCAGGACCACCAGAGTGTCAAGTGAGTTGAGAGAGAAAAATGCAATCACAGCAGGAAGAGAAGAACTCCAACAGCTCTGAATACAAGGAGGAAATCAGCAAACTAGAAAGTCGCTATCAATTTTGCGGGCACCATTTGAGGATCACTCGGGACTTCACCAGTAATCTTGGGATATCCGCAATAATCTGGGAAGCTGTAAGTCCAACATTGGGTGTCAATGCGTTTAGCTGATAGATGTAAAGCTAACCTGTTGCTTGAGTTTCCTGCTACCCAGCCTCCTCCCTGGCAACCCTGATGCTGTAGCTGCTTATTTGATGCAGAGAGTTTCTGGCTGAATATACATAGGAAGATAGGAACGAGCAGATGAAGAAAGATCATCTAGTTTGCTTTCTATCATTCTGATAGTTGTATGGTACAATGATATTAATAATAATAAAAATATTGCTGACTAATTGCTGTGATAATTTCTATTAATAAGATTTCAATAGATTCAAATATGGAGTGAGGAAAACCCTGTGATGAAGATCTATGGGAAACAAAGTCACCCATTCCTAGCCAATATGCTACCTGCACCACACATTATGTTTCAAACTATTCAGATGCTTGATCCAAGGCTAGAATGAAATATTCTGGAGAATTCCCTGCCAATCCCAGAAGGGAACGCCAACAAGTTCCAGGAGATAATCACAAAGTATGTCACCAAACATCCCACCCATCATTTGTGAGGACTGAAATCAGTCTCCTCTAGAAGCCCATCCAGTTCCTTTTAAAACGTTTGTACCACATACACACTGAGTGTACTTGACACTGAGGACATCACTTTTTTATTCAACATCCCTGACAGTGCTTGAGCCAATATCACACGTATCCTAGGTAGGATATACAAGATTAATATCTTCCTAGGCAATACGACCTCCGAAGCACCATATACAGGGTTAATATCCTCCTGGGCACCACATACGGTGCCAATTCCCTCCTGGCACCATGTACCCTCACACTCACTATGTTGGGGTTTCAATTGTCCTGGGATAAAAATATTGAGTTTGAAATTTCCTGGACACTGTCTATTGAGTATGTATCATCCTTGTTAGCACCATGAATTGTTTTTCCGTCTGCAATGACACATGTAACTGGATTACATCCTCTTTGGATTAATCTGTTATCTTTATGTTATCCTTGACACCATAATAATAAAACAATAATAATAAAGCTATATCCTCTGGGCAGAGGTATAGTGTTTATACCATTTTGGGAACCAAAGTTTGCTGCCTCACTGCTACAATATACTCAGATCTTACTCTCCTTGGCACCATTGGAAAATTTGGAAAAAATTATTTGTTGTAAAGAATTTTGGGAAATCCTGAATTTGTGAGAAGTGCTATGTAAATGCATATTCTTTTCTTTTTCTTTTTGTGGCATTATACCCTCTTTGACACTATACACCATATCTCTACAGTCCCTGATACAATGGGTTTGAACACTATATGTACTGTCCCAGACTTTATATCCTTCATATGCAATGCAAGAGTTTACAATCTTCATGACACCAGGCAAGTGAGGCTACACTGTTCTGACACCATGTACTGACTCCCTGAATCCTGCTTATCTGTACATCATATTCGCACCCTGCCTTGAGCTGTATATTCTTTCATGAAAAATTATTGCTGAATTAATTTTTACATAATGCAACATCTTTTTCAGGGCCTTGTTCTCTGTCAGTACTTTGAGCGAGAGAAGGTGAGTTTTTCTGGGAAGAAGGTGATTGAACTGGGATCGGGAACTGGGATCGTCGGAATTCTTGCCGTCCTGCTAGGTGAGTTAAAGCCTCCATGGTGTGAAGGAGAACAATGGACTATCATGAAACAGGACAGTCACAGAAACATGCCCAACAAATGCAATGTTAGGTTTAAGATCCACATAAGCTTCGATCTTCCATTCTTCCTCTAACACCATCAATTGATCATTCTTGCTTGCTGAGCCAGTGTGTTTAATTGCAAACATTTCGTCACCCTGCTAGGTAACATCGTCAGTGCCCTCCAGTGAAGCGTTGGTGTTCTGTCCTACTTGTTATTATATGCCTCGGTTTGCTAGGGTATTACTTCTGGTTCTGTTTTTCAATGGTTTGTATATCAGGTCCAGTTCAATGTGTTTGTTGACGGAGTTCTGATTGAATGCCAGGCCTCCAGGAATTCCCTGGCATGTCTCTGTCTCGCTCATGCTATCATGGCTGTGTTATGCCAGTCAAATTCGTGTCCTTCTTTGTTCGTGTGTATTGAGACACCAAGAGACACGAGCAATTCTCACTGGTCTCAATACACACCTGTTTGTCTAACCTAAATGCAACTTTTTAGTTGCCTTAGCTATTCCTTATGGTAATGACTTTCATATCATAACCACTGTCTGGGCTAAAGAGACTTCTCCTGATTTCGAGACAACAAGGTGCAGGGCTGGATGAACACAGCAGGCCAAGCAGCATCATAGGAGCAGAGAGGCTGACGTTTCGGGCCTAGACCCTTCATCAGAAAAGGGGGAGGGGAAGGGGGTTTTGAAATAAATAGGGAGAGAGTGGGAGGCGGATAGAAGAGGGATAGAGGAGAGGATAGGTGGAGAGGAAACAAACAGGTCGAAGAGGCGGGGATGGGGCCAGGAATGGATTTATCGGTGACTATGTTTTATTTATGATCCCTTAGTTCTGGTATCCCCCCACAAAACATCTTCTCTACATCTACCTTATCAAATTCTTTTATAATTCTGAAGACATCCATTAGGTCAATCCTCAGTTTTCTCTTATCTTTAGAAAAGGGCCACCAACCTCATCAATCCTTCTAGATAGATTCCTTTTCTGCATTAACAATGTCTTCAATATGGTCCTAGCTTCAAATATTGGATTCCGGAATACAAATCATTTATGTAAACTATGAACGGCAATAGTTCCCATACTAGTACTTACAGGACACAACTTTCCACCTTTTTTCAGTCCAAGCAATTGTTTCATTGTTAGGTTTTATCTTCTGCTTTCCTACCTTATCGAAGAACAGTACCAGGTTCCCATGGACCTGTAATAGTGGTTCTGCAATCTCATTCTTAATTTCTTCTAATATGCACCAACGCAATCTATCTCAATTAGAGGGTTTTATCCCTCATGAAAGTTGATTAGTTACCAATTGTTTCCTCCCCCACTTTCTATCCTAAATGTCTTTAACATACCTTTTTGATCCCTTTTCTAATGTCATGCTCACAGTGCTAATCCCCCATGTAAATGAAGGAAATAAATCCCCAGTTTCAGAAACAGCTGTTTTAATCTTTGTTTTTCTCTTGAAGGTCCCTTCCAATGACTGGTTTTCCAGTGACCTACCATTATGGACCTTCCCTCTGGGAGGCCCAGTATCTCAAATGTGCTGCCACTGACCTAAAAATCTCCAGTAAATGTAAATGTAACACATTTTAGAGCCATAGAGGTCTACAGCACAAAAAAAGACCCTTAAACGATTGAGTCTGTGCTAATCCCATTTTCCAGCATTTGGCCCATAGCCTTGTATGCCTTGGCATCACAAGTGCACATCTAAATATTTCTTGAATGTGATGAGGGTCCTGCCTCCACCACCATTACAGGCAATGAGTTCTAGATTTCCATCACCCTTTAGGAGAAAATGTTTTTCCTCACATCCCCTTTAAACCTTCTTCCCCTTACATTAAATCTATGCCGCAGTTGTTAATCCTTCCACCAAGGGGAAACATTTCTTTCCCCTCATAATTTTATACATCTCAATCATGGCCCACTCAGTCTCCTCTGCTCCAAGGAAAACAAGCCCAGTCTGTCCAATCTCTCTTCATAACTAAAACTCTCCAGCCAAAGCAGCATCCTGGTCATTTGAACACATTTCACCTTTAGTTGCTGAGCTAAGGGCTAGATAATCTCAAAAATAGACTCTCTGCTCCCGGTGTAATATTCCTATATCACTCTGAACATCTTGACTCAGCTCAAGCATTGAACAAGGAAGTGGTTATCTTATGAGTCCTTGTTTGCTCCAATCAGTATCCACATTTGACTCTGTGAACTAGTAAACATGCCTACAGAACAAAATCCAAGTGTTTTCGTTATGCCAGTGCTAAACCATTAGATATCACTGGCATTTAGATTTCCTTATCATACAATGCAAAGATTTTGTGAAGCAACTTTGATACTGCCTTCCAGATATAAAAAGGCCTGCTAAGCTCACCAATTTGCAATCATTGCTCAAAATTCTGGTTTAATCTCTTTTTTGATCAAAATTATCTTGTTAATTTTGAGCGTTTTTTTAAAAACCAAATTCAATTTGGCAAGCAAAATTAAGAAAAACCCAAAGATTTATTTATCAATTCTAAAAGGGTGAGAGGATATCTAAGGCAAGTGTTGAATGGATTGGAGACCAAAAAGGTGATTTGTGTGTAGAAACACTGTTGTACATGTGTTTTGCCTTTAAGAGAGATCACCTTTAAGGACTCTGCGTGCAGTGTATTTACAATGTTGCAACTCTGCCTGACAGTTAGTTCAAGTTATATAGTTTGCTGTACCATCTGCTTCCATGTCTCGTGTGTTTTACTGTTTTAAAAAACTAACCCACAGAGCTAATCAATCCCCAATGTGATTTTTAAAATATTATCATTAACATAACAAGATATGAGCATGGATCTTCATAAATACATTGCATTTCTTTTCACAAAGGAGAAGGTAAAACATAATAGTTGTGAAATATTGGATGGGATAAACACAGTGAGGGAGGAAATATTAAAATGTCAGAACCTTGAAAACAAATGTTGAAATGAATTTGAGGGTTGTTAAGAGAAGCAAGAAAAGAAATAGTAGAGACACCTATTTTCTAACTATCTCTGGCTTAAGGCATGGTGTCAAAGGATTAAAAGACTGCTAATGTTGTGCCATGGTTTAAACAGAAATTAGGGTTAGTCCAAGTAACTACAGGTCTAGTCATGGTTGTGGGAAAATAATAGTAAAAGTTTTAAAGACAGCATAAATTATCATTTAGATTGGGATGGTTTGCATGGATTTACTGAGGGAAGGTGCTGTCAGAATAAATTCTTAAGTTACAAAAGGATTGATGGAGGTCGTGTATTAGATGTAGTCTTCATAGAGTATATGAAGGCTTTTAACAAGGTTCCACATTGTGGTCTGTTCCATAAATCAAATTTCCCTCAAAGGAGAAAGTGGCAAATTGTTTCAGAAATTGGCTCAGCGGCAAATAACTAAGACAAATAATCGATTAGTGTTTTTGTGATTGTATGGCTGTTTTCCATGGAGTTCATGAATGAATCAGTACTGGGTTCCTTGCTGTTTATCTGCAGATTAGCAATGTAACCCTTATCAACCCTTTCTGTTCCCTCTTCAAAAAATACCAGTTAAACATAATTTCTTTTTTAGAAATCTATACTGATTCTTCCTAATCAACCCACCCTTCACCATGTGGCTACTGATTCTATCCCAAATAATTATCTCGCTGATGGGGGCTTATCCTTACAATTTTTATTGAAGGAGGCCATATGTTTGCAGTCTTCTTGCACCTCCCCCAAATCTAAGGAAGACTGAAAGATTATTCCATCTGGTCCCGGTGTCTTGTCAACTTTAAACACCAACAATATATTCAAAACCTTTACCCTTTCAATTTTGATCTGTTTAGTATCTGAATTCTATCCTTGTCAGAATGGCCCAGACAGCATCTCTCTCCTGAGTAAAGACACCTCAGCTATGCCCTATCCAGGTGTAACTCTCCATTTTGGTCCCTCATTGACTCTAATCTTACTTTTATCAATCTTTTATTATTTATATGGGCATATAAGACTTTTGCACATCTCTTTATATTGGCTACCAGTCTTTTCTCATAATTCCTCTTTGCTTCTCTTATTTGCTTTTTGACCTCCAGTCTGAATCTTGAACATTCCTCTTGGTTCCCAATATACCTGACACGTATTAGAAGCACACTTGTTCCTTTTTTATCTTAATTCCTATCTCCTTTGTCATCCAGCTCTGTATTTGTTTGTTCCAGTTCCCATTTGAGAGAATATTATTCAAACCATCTCCTCTTAGAAGGTGTCCCATTGTTTAGTTAGTTTTTACCACCAACCTCTAATTCCGGTCAATCCTGCCCAGCTCTGCTCTTGCCCCACTGAAATTAGATTTCCCCCCATTGATTTTTCTCACTCTGGATTGTTGCATGTCAGTCTCCACATCATCCTGAACCTTATAATACAATGATCACTGTTTCCCAAGTGTTCCCCCCACTAATATTCTCATAAATTGTTGTTCCCTTTCTAAATTTGGTTTCTTGCACTTCAGACTTGATGAGTGTAAGTTTGACACTGCGTCTCATTTCAGCAATGTTTAATATCAGTGCTACACCGAAAAACTATTTTTAAATAAAGAGTTCTTGCAAGACCTTAAATGGACTCCAACATCAGCTCCTTGGGAGACTAAACAGAGCTCAACTCTAAGCACACGACAAAACAGTGATTATTTAAAATTTGTTTGACAGGCGGAGATGTAACCCTGACAGACCAACCAAATGTTCTGAATCAAATACAGTTCAATGTTGCCAACAACATCCCCGTCTCTGTTCAACAGCGGGTCAAAGTCTCTGCTCTCCTTTGGGGTGAAAACCAAGATCAGTTCCCCACAAACTACGACTTCATCCTAGGCACTGATATTGTCTACAGTTCACGGGACTTCCCTGCTCTCATAAAGACCCTGCAGCACCTGAGCAATGAGAACACTGTCATCTACATCTGTTCCAAGATGCGAGAGAGCATGGGGGCCATTGATTTCCATGAGAAGCTCCTGCCCGTGGCCTTCAACACGGAGATTGTTCACAGAACTGCAGACAAAGAAATCATTGTGTTCAAGGTGACCAAGAAAGGCTTTGGCAATGTAGGAAAGCCACAGATGTGACACTTTATATTAACGGGAGTGGAGGGGATGACAGATTTCGTGTGTCTGGCAGAGTTCATGTTACCAGTGACCCTTTCACAATAGGTTTTGAAAAATTGTCAACATTTTTCTGGACCCTTCTTGGTATTTTTCCACCTCTCCACTGTATTCAAGGTTTAATTATTAACCTAGCAAGCTCCTGCAGATCTCTTGTCTCTTGACTCGAAGTTTGGAAATTAGTGTTGGGAGATGATGGCATTTCCAGGGAGTTACCTTATTAACCATCTCCTCCATCTGCCAGGCTGAAGCAAGACTTCAGATTCAAATTCTACACATCAGATGCAACAAGGCCATATCACTCATCAATTTGTCACTGAGTAATTCCCAATGGACCTCTCTCATACTGAGTGGATTTGCACTAAACTCTACTTTTGCTCAGCCGTACACGCTCTGAAGCCATTTGAGGTACATCTTCACTATGCACTGTCCCGCTGGTCAAAGAAGCCCCTCCCTCACCCCAAATAAACAGGTTACTTCCTAAAGAAATACTTCAAATCCCAACTTCGCCCCAGAGAGAGGGACAGACTGGGCGGTTTCTTCATTAGTTAATCTGATACTTGGTCAAAGAAGCACTATATTTTCAGACTAACACCATCCCGAATATAGATACAACAATTGACATTATTAATTATGGGCAGCTCTAAATTCCACAAAAATGTGACTAATCATGCAAATTACACCATGTTCCAAATTAAAATGCCCACAGTCAAAACTATGATGTTTGAACTGCTGAGAGGCATTTGTGCTAAATAGAATTGATGAGACAAAGTCACTGTAACATTAGCTTAATATTTCCCACTGTCTAGCATTATAACTTCTTTCAATACTGAAAAATAATGAAATAATAAAAGGAGTTTCCTTGAGCGTTTATGCTATTCTTTCATGTGAGCTCAGGATTGAGTAGATATTTATTCCTTGAGGAATCTTCATTCATATGGTGACCAAATAACTTCATAATGTTCAATGCTACAAAACGGAATGTTCACACCACACTTTGCCACCATCACTCCATGCAGTCAATCCCACTCACATCATCACTCTGCACATGCACAGACTCCCAGTGCATATTGTCTCCCGATCACACTGTCACTGTGCACACTCACCCAGTCACATTGTCATTCTGCACACACTCCAAATCATACTGTCACTCCTTAAACACGAACACTTTCTCCCAGTTACACCATCACTTCATACAACATTCTCAATCACACTGTCATTGTATATATACACATACACACAGTTACATTCACTCCGCAGATCTTGATTTGCTCCTTCGTGAGCTGCAGGTGTCACAGGAAACACCAGCATTTATTCCCCATCACTGGCACTCATTGAGGAGATAGTAAGGAGTCCCCTGACGTAAACTGCAGCATGCTGAGTGTCGCACTGTTATTAGCAGGGATTTTAAAGGAACAATAGATTTGCAAATCAGGCTGGGTTGTGGCATGGAGCTGACAAATGGAGATGTCCCAACTGCCTGTGGCAATGGCTCTTTCAGGCTATAAAGGGCGAGTTTGGAAGGGGCTTACAAGTCATCAATGTATACCTTGTAGTGGCTACTCATTGCAGTCATGATATTTTTGATTTCATTGGTACATGGCAGCAGCTATTGCATGTTTATAACAGCTCTTTCTAATGACAATTGATAATAGTTTAATGGTCAACATAACTGAGGATAGCATTTAATTTTAATTTTCTTTGCAAATTAATTCCGGCAACTTTTCCGCCATGGTGGGATCTGAGCCGGAGTCCCAAAAGTATCAGTCAATGCTTCTAGATTACTAGTTAAGAGAGTTACCACCGCACTACAAACTTCTCCAACAGCAAGCATCGTACTCCTGACTCTTGTCTTGCAGATGGTCGACAGGCTTTGAAGTGCCAAGTGAGCCATAAATCACAAGATACCCAGCCTCTGACTTGCTAAATTTATCAAAATGGGTAATCTACTTAAGTTTCTATTTAATGGTGACCGCCCCCACCCCAACAAAATGTTGATGAAGGGGGATGGATGGGGAGGTGTTTGACATTGTTAATGTCATTGAATTTCTCAGGAAGGTGGTTAGACTCTGCCTTGGAGGAGATGCTCCTTTCTTGGTCCTGATGATACAATTGATACCTCTCTCACCTGTCCAGGTCTTGATGCATGCGGGGTACCATTGCTTTGTTCTCTGAGGAATTGCTGTTGGAACAGAACTGAAAGCCAGGGGGTTGTTTATACACATCATCACAGCAAGCTAACACACAGGTACGGTTAGCAATGGTAGGCTGGCCTTCATTGGAAGGGAAGTGGCATCTCAGGGGGCAGAAATCATACCTGGAATAAACTTTGTGTTTAAGCTCCTTAAAAAGTAAAGATATACCTGCTTCTGATGGCTTCAATGAAAAATTCACTAGATCAGTTCCTGAGGTTGGGGCGGGGGGGGGGGGGGGGGGAACAGGAACAGTCCGATGTTATGAGGAGAGATTGAATAGAATGGTACTGTTTTCTTTGGACCTTGGAAGAGAGAGAGCATAACAGGATCAATGCTGACAGGTTTTCTTTCCCCATCAATGAAAAGTCTTAAACTTGAGATCACATTCTCAGAATAAGGGGTTTAGTTCTTCGGACTAACATGAAGATAAACAACTTCCTTGTGAACTTGTGGAATTTTCTACCCCAGAGGGCTATGGATACTCAGAGAATGTTCATCAACGAGATCAATAGATTTTTGACCACTAAGGAATGTTTTTGCAGAGTGGAATCTTTACGAGAAAGCAACCTGACAGTTTAATCTGAGGATGTTAAAGGAAGTAGAGAAGCACATTGTAGATACCCTAACTATTAATATTGGAGTCCCCTAGATACAGGTCATCCCTCTGGATTGAAAAAATTGCATGTTACTCCACTTTTAAAGAAGGGCGAAAGAGAAAAACCAGTTAGTCTAACATTTGTGGTGGTGAAATTATTAGAGTCTATCTTCAAGGATAGGGTACCTAAACACCTTGAAATTTTCAGTTAATCAGGGAGAGCCAGCATGGGTTCACCATAGGTAGGTCATGCCTAACAAACCTCATTGAATTTTTCGAAGACATGTCTGAGGTCGTGGACAGGAGAATATCTATAGATATTGTTTACATGAACATCAAGAAGGCATTAGATAAAGTCCCATATAAGAGACTGTGAAACTAAGGTAGAAGCCCAATAACTGAGGGCAAATTACTGACATGGCTAGGAAATTGATTGAGTGACAGGCAACAGAGAGGAGGGATAATGGATAGGTACTGAAATTAGCAGGGTGTGACCAGTGGTATCCCACAAAGATTTGTGTTCGGGCCTCAATTATTCACATTCTTTATTAACAACTTGGATATTGGCATAGAAAGTCATATATCCAAATTTGCTGATGAAACAAAGTTAGCTGGCATCGTAAACAGTGTAGACGATAGCATAAAATTACAAAAGGATACTGATAGACTAAGTAAATGAGCAAAACTGTGGCAGATGAATTTCACTGCAAGCAAGTATAAGGAAAAGGATAGATCGAGGGACTTTCTAGATAGAATGAACTTCAATACAGTGGATGTCCAGACGTGGGGGTTCAGGTGCATAATCATTAAAATGTCACAACAGATTCAGAAAATAATCAAGGTGGCTATAAAGTTTGGCCTTTATATCTAGAAGACAAAGATGCAGAGGTTATGCTGTAGCTAGTCAAAACTGTGGTTAGACCCCACTTGGAGTACTATGAGCAGATTTGGGCACCACTCCTCAGGAAGGATATATTGGTTTTGGAGGGAGTACAGTGTAGATTTACACAAATGATACCTGGACTTCACAGGGTACGTTACGAGGAAAGATTATAATATTTTCTCCAGAACTTAGGTTAAGTAGTGATCTGATCGAAGCCTTCAAGTATTAACAGGAAAAGATAGGGCAGATAAAGAGTAACTATTTCCACTGGTTGGGTATTCTAGAACTAGGAGGCACAGTCTGAGAATTAGGGCCAAACTGTTCAGGAGAGATGTTAGGAAGCACTTTTGCATAGAAAGGGTGGTAGATGTTTGGAGCTTTCTTCCGAAAATTGCAGCAGATGCATGATCAGTTAATTTTGAATCTGAGATAGATAAATGTTTGTTAAGCAAAGATATTAAGGGATATGGGCCAAAGACAGGTATATATGGAGTTTGGCCACAGATCAGGCATGTTCTATTGAATGGTGAAACAGGCCTCAGGGGCTGAATGGCCCATGTTCCTGTTCCTATCAAGTAGCATTTACTCAAGAATAACCTGCTTACCAATGTTAAACGTGTTAAACAGGATCACTCATCTCCATAATTACAGTTTCAGTCTAGAGTGTTGTCAATTGTAATTACACTTGATATCAAAGCTGAATTTGACAGTGTCACATCAAGGATCCAAAGAAAACAGGATGAAAATCTACGATGTTTGCAGTTGTACCTCGCACAAAGGTAGATGGTTGTGGTTGCTGAAAGACATCTGTGTGGGAGTTGCTCAGGCTAGTGTCCTCGGTCCAACCATCTGTAGCTGCTTCATCAATGACCTTCCCTCCATCATATGGTCAGAAATGGACATGTTCACTGATGATTGTACAATGTTCAGCACCATTCAGGAAACTTCAGATACCATTCAAATGCATTAAGATCCTGAGCAACTGTCATGTTTGAGTTGATAAATGACAAATAATATTCAATCCATACAAGTGGAAGGCATTAGGAATCTCCAAGGGAGTCTAACCACATCTCCATGAGGTCTACTAGCATTGGAATCACTGACTCCTTAGAATAATCAATCATGGGGCTTACTACTAACCAGAAATTCAACTGGACCATCCACTATAAATACTGTAGTTACAAGAGCAAGTCAGAAGCTGCAGGTTTGCACTGAGTGGCTCACTTCCTGACTCCCAAAAGCCCCTCTATTGCCTACACAGCACAATTAAGGAACTTATTGTATAGTTTCCACTTGTGTGGATGGCACAGCTGCCACATGGAAACAGATCAATCTCATCCAGGACAAATCTCATTCCCTATAGCTTCCCCTCACTCCCTCCATCACTACATAACAGTGATGTGACTGCCACATTTGCAAGATAAACCACACTTGGTACACACATACATATTATATATATTTATAAACAATAGTAATTGTAGGGATTAACAAGGATGTAATCAGTCTAATTGCTGAAAAGGTAGGATTCAATTCCAGACAGTGGGACACTGAGCAAAGATTGTTAATGAAAAGGAATGGTGTCAGCTAGACTTGAAACATTAGGGGATCGTTAGGGAATAACAGTTCTCTGAAAAAATCAAAATGAGAGAGTCAGGAGAAAGAAATCCATATCTGACAAATGTGGTTCCTCATATAGAAAATGCACACACACCTGTAGTGGGGGGAATGAAGCAGGAATGTTGCTTGGTATTGTGACACCATCAATCAGCACATAACAAAAATATGCTTTGGTAGTAATGTTACGGCCTACGGAAACCTGATGTGCCCAGTGTTTGACAGCACGGATCTGCACGCAATAGGTTATGTCAATCAATAAAGAGCCTTAATTAGACATTTCAGCATTTGCTAGCCTTGGGCTTATGTTATTGGAAAGCACGCGAGACAGTCCAATATCGCTGACTCAACTGCTTAGAACAATGGCACTATTTTATTTTATTGTATTTTATTCTGTCTGATCTTGTATATCAAAATCCAAACAAAGAACAGAAGTTTAAAAAGAAAATCATACTGTTAAAACAATCCAAAGGTCAGTCTTAGTGGTTGACAAACACCGTTAATGGGTATTTACACTAAGGGATCTGTCTGGAATACAGTATAGCTGAAGAAATGATCAGGGTCAGTGATGTGATGCTTAATGACCACTCGACTGTGGAAACAGGATAATGGACACTGGCTCACCCACACCTTACTCACAGGCCCACTAATCTTCAAGATTAGATCCAGTAGGTAGGGTAGTGAACTGCAGAGGGCGTCACAGCCCAAACCCATCCAAAGCTCATAATGATAATTCCTGCACAAGTGGGAGCTCTAGACTTCGCTGTTTTAAACAATGTTGTAAACCTTTATTCAGGTGCAAAAGGAAAGTGCAGTATCCCAGTGGCACTTCAGAGTAAGGGACTCTGCTGATCCATAAAACTTCACACAAACTGACAGCAGAGAGTGTCTGCGTGTGTGTCTTCAGTTGCATATTCATAACGAAACAGCTTGGTGCTCTCTCTCTCTCTCCTTCAAGGAAATGTCTGTACTTTAGAGACCCTTTTATAGGAGGCACCAAGTTTTCACATGCACCACTTCCCCCCCTCTCTCTGTCTGTCTCTCCCAGACATCCTCTCCAGTTACTGAATGTTCAGGCCTGGACTCATCTTAGTGCAGGTTTCACACACACACACTGGGCTTGTGGCGAGTACCTCAGTCTTCTTGCCAGTCAGCAGCAGCCCAGCTGGGCAGCAGTGAGCTGTACTCCCAGTCCAGCCCCTTGTAGTGTAGGGCATGCAGGTACATGATCAGGTCCTTTGCGGATGGGTCCTTCCTCAGCAGCTTGCACTCACCACACAGAGTGTCCTTCACAGGCACGGGCTTCACTTCCCGTTCACCAGCTGTGGGCTCCAAACAGCTGTGGTCGCTTGCCTTCCCCCTTCCAACCTCAACCCCGTTGTTCCCCTCATCTGCAGCTCTTACGTCTGCAAAAGGGTCAGTCTGGCCCACGAGTGGTGGCGTGGAGTTGGTGCTCCCTTTGTGGTCATCCTTCCCAGTGCATTGGTAGTCCACTTCCAGGAGATCTAGGCTCTCTTTCAACCGGTGATCGTCCACCAATGCCTTCAGCAGCTCATCGTCCGTTTTGTCCAGCGTCCCCCCTCTGCCCCTATTAGGTCCCCAGGCCTCGGTATTGTAGACAGGGTCATTCACGATGGGGTGACCCAGGTACTGGAGGTGGACCCGGATCTGGTGGGTGCGCCCAGTGTAAGGGGAGCAGCGCACCAAGCTGGACGTGCCATTGTAGCTCAGTTTCTGGAAGACAGTCTTGCACGGTTTCCCTGTGGGGTGCACTCGGCATACACCAACCTTGTAGGAGATGACGAGGATGGGTTCCTCACAAGCAATTTCACCATCTGGAAACTCGCCCTGCACTCGACACACATACTCCTTCTGCACCTGAAACACAATGGCACCGGTCAGCTGGCACTGTACATCAGGGTCTGGGTACACTAGGAAGCGTCGCCAGTGATTCAGATCAGGGAGCCTGTCAATGCTCCCAATCTTCCCCATTCCAGAAGCCTAAACCTGAAACTCACGCCACTCTCACTCTTGTTCCTTTACACCACTGACAGCCATGCTTTCAGTCATCTCAGCCCTAACTCCCTTCCCTGATCCTGTGTCACTCCATTTCCTTCCCCTCCTTTATAGATTCATAGAATCCCTAGAGTGTGGAAAGAAGCCATCCGGCCCATCGAGTCAGCAACGATCCTCCAAAGAGCATCCCATCCAGACCAAGCCCCACGCCCTACCTCTGCAACCCCACATTTCCCATGGCTAACCCACCAAACCTGCACATTCCTGACCACTATGGGCAATTCAGCATGGCCAGTCCAGCTAACCTGCCCATCTTTGGACTGTGGGAGAAAATTGGAACACCTGGAAGAAACCCACACAGACACGGGGAGAACATGCAAATCCACACAGACAGTCATCCGAGACTGGAATTGAGCCTGGGTCACTGGCGCTGTGAGGCAGCAGTGCTAATCAGTGAGCCACCTATTTATGATAATTCTTAAAGCCCAGCTCTGAGGCGAAGCGTTAGGCACCTCCATTATACACTCCCTTACCTGTCAAAGGACAAGAAAGGGGACTGGATCTGTGCAGCTCACCCCCACCTCTGTTTCCCTCATTTCCACTTCTATGGATTGCTGGTGTACTATTCTCACCCGGACGGTCACTCTACATGCAGGTGAATATAAGGTTTGGCAGCTATTCAATAGCGGAGGGGCTCAAGGGCATACACGATCCTTACTACAACCACCCGGACACTCCTGCAGCAGGTCTACTGATGGCAACCGGGACTGGAAACATTGGCTGCTACTTCTTAATGCTCCCTAGTGCATACACGTTGAATCCAATGTTAGTGTTACAGTGTCTGTGCTAGCACACCCCAACCTGAGATGAGGTCGTGGGTTTCCAAGGATAATCTGGGCTGACAACTTAAGTGCAGCATTGCGGGAGGGTTCCATTTCCAGAGGAATAGATGTCAGAGTGAGGTCCCATCTGACCTTTCAGCGGAGTTTATCCCAGTAGGATTAATTAATGACCTCATATCAAAGGATGTCAAATGACTGTGATCATAACTTAATTGAATTTCACATTCACCATGAGGGAGAGAAGAGTGGGTTTAAACCTAATGTTTTAAACTTAAATAAAGGCAATGATGAGGGTATGAAGGCAGTGCTGGCCAAAGTGAACTGGAAAATAGATAGGTAAGTGATAAACCAGTAGAAATGCAGCTGCAGATAGTTCCAGAATTTTTCCATAATGTTAAGCAAAGATACGTATCAGTGAGAAAGGAGGATTTTAGGAGATTTCACAGAATGATTGCGGATAGAATGCTCCTTATGAGTGTAAAACAAAAGCCTCCCATTAAGATAGGATTAATTTCTGGAATTAATTTTTCCAAGAGTTCACTTCTGTAGAGAGCAGGGAAGGCCGGATTATTGAATATCTCTGAGGCAAAATTGGACAGATTCTTGTTTAATAAGTTTCAAACAATATTGGAGAGGTGGAGTGTGGCAAGGCATCAAATAGGTCATGATCTTCTCAAGTGGCAGAGCAGAATCAAGAGGATGAATGGCCTATTCTTGCTCCTAGTTTGATTTTCCAGACAAAACAGGAATTTACCCATTATCAAATTATTCCTTGAGCAATAGTGCTAAAACAGATGATTTGGTCTTTATGACATTGCTGTTTGTGGGAGCGTATCATGGGTAAAGTGGCTGCCACATTTGTTACATTTACAACAGTGACTACATTTCAAAAATACTTCTTTGGCTGCAAAGAATTAAGAAACATGCCAAGTCTGTGAAAGGCACTTTCGAAGTGCAAGCCTACAGAAATTAGTACAGTCCTGACTGAGAATGGTTAGCGCAGAATAACTGGGGATAATCTGGGGTCTGAATATTTGAAGCCAACATTGAGACTTGGCCTGAGTTACTTTACAGTCTCTCTCTCTCACACTCACACACTCACTCACACATACACAGAAAGACAGAGAGAGAGAGAGAGAGAGAGAGAGAGAGAGAGAGAGAGTACCTGTCTCTCTCGGACTTGCTGGTCCATTTTCTTTGACACCTCAAGTGTCTTGGCGAACATGAGGACCCCAGAGGCGAGCCTGTCCAGCCGGTGAATGGTGTGCAGTTCTGTCAGACCATGTTCTTTTCCCAGGATAAAGATGACCGTGTTGTGTCTGAACCGGCCACAGGGGTGTACAGGGATGGAGGCTGGTTTGTCCACCACAACGACTTCCTGGTTCTGGGTGAGTATCGTTATTGGCTGAGCAGTAACAGGAGGCTCATGCCTGTGCACTGTGTTCCTCATGAAATCATTGTTCTAAGACACAGCAGAAGAAACCGTTAGTACTGGTGAGCAACATTCTTCCAAATTTCTCTCTGCAGTCCACAGATTGAGCATGATGATGCGCGATGCATTCCAGATTGCTGCAAGACTGCACGCACCCACACAGCTCAGGAAGAACACAAGCTACATCCTGCCAGCTCCTCACACCAATCACAAAATCCTCAATAGGCTCAATAAAACAGCAACTTCACACGTCAGACACAAAACTGGATGGCAGCCAAAACTGAGGTGATTCGCCCACAATGAGGTTACAAAAGAACCTCTCGTACCCCCAAGAACCCTGACTCTGGTCAGGAAGGGTTCTTGTAGGGCCATTCCATCAAACGTTCGTGCCACAATGTGACTGTGCAATGTGTAGTGAGGCCCAGGGTGCCTCAGAGATCAATCAGTCACAACCACTTTGCAGAATCAACAGGAACAATGAAGAATTTGTTTAAGGAACCAACCTCACTACTGGCTTTAAACTACACAAGGCAGAGGGAAACATTCCAAAAAGGAGAAAGAGGAACTTCCATAGAATCATAGAGTACAAAAGAGGCTCTTCAGCCCATCAAGTTTGTAATGCCAAAATTATACTACTACCTATGTTAGTCCCACTTTCCCACATCAGACTCAAAGCCTTTCTGCTCCCCTCCCTACAATGCAAGATTTGGCAGTGCAATAATTATGGTTCACTGACCACAAGAAAAGATGGATTAGGATTTCCTCCTCTTGGCTTCAGTGGACAGAGGCGCTGGCCAGTGAAAAACTAAACTCTGCATCTACCACAGTGGCCTGTTAATAATCCTAACTGTACTTAATGGACAGACCTGCATGTTTATGAAGCAATATCATTAGAGAAGTAAACCACAGCAAGAGAATAAACACTTTTATGATCAGCTGCCCATATGTATTCCATTACTCAGAATCATGCTGATCAGCAACCTGCAAGGCCCCCAAACCAGTTAACACAGCTCCTGTAGACACAGACCTACACCTGGGATCTTCCTGTAAATGCACACCTATCTCCCGGGATCTTTCTATAGAGGCACACCTACCCTGGAGCACCCCCCACCCCCGCGTAAACACAGACCCTACCTTTAGGACTGTATTAAGGTCGGCGGGTTCCTCATTAAGCCGGATTCGGCCAGCTTTGGCAGCCTGGGTGTAATACTCAATTGGTTCAACACGGAACTCAGAGCTGAAAACTTCCCGCAATGTTTTTCCAACCCAGCGGCCTTTACAGTAGGTCTGGAAATCAAAGTAGTATGGAAAGACCTTCCTCAATCCGTTCTCAAAGTAATACTGGGTCTCTGCAGAGGAAGGCAAGGGAAAGAAGATTCAAAGATTAATTACAAGTCACTGGTGCATTTTTAGAATCAGCATAGACAGTGCATCGCAAACTTGAGCCGATCTCCCTTCCCTTCTTAACTAGCTTTCACACATACCAAGACCTGGATTAGTAAACTAGCACCCAGTCCTTTTGTTTCTCCATGTGTAATACTCAACATCAGGCTATTCGACTGTGGAGACAGCACAGCTGAACTTGATATCTGCTGGCAAGCACTCTTCATGGAGGCTGCTGGCCGACTCGGAGCCCTAACTGTTCACGTCCCTCCTGAACCTGGTGGACACCTCCAGGACAGATCAGAGACGGTCAGGATTAATTACTTAGGCGACAAGGTGGCGAATGACTTTACATCTTGACATTCTGCCCACAGCTCTCCAACCCACCATCTGACAGTCATCATGGGGTCACTGGTGGACACAAAAAAACCACACTCCCCCCAACCCCATCCTCAGCAAATGGAAAAACACAACACAAACACAGAAGGGAACGTTGGGACATTCGCAATCATCTTTAGTCAAAAACACTGTGAGAACAATCCAGCTCGGACTCCTCCCCAAATCCTCAGCACCACAGGTTAGAATTACTGTGGACAGCTCTGTACACAGCCAAGGCTCAGGTTGAGAGGATCAGGGTGGGGGGTAAGAGAGAGAGACAGAGGATGGCAGATAGGTGCTAGGGGAAGGAGTGTTTTAACTCATTGGTTTGGTTCAGGAGGATATAGAAAATTGCTGGAGAACTCAGCAGCATCTATGGAAAGGGGGACTGAGAAAGAGGGAGAGAAAGAAAGAAACGTTGAGTCCTCCAGAACTTTTGGTTCAGAGTTGTTGAGATCTTCCAAAAATTATTTTCTCTTTTTAAAATTATATCCCTGAGGAGGCCCCCGTGAAAATATTTATATGTACAAGGCTTGGCAATCAGTTCGGATTGCCAAAAAGCAATGTCAAAAGATCAGCAAGCACAGGAAGGGGAGGGGTGCGGTGATAGGGAAAATGGGGACTTGGAACAGGATGAGGCAAAGACAACAGAGGGTGGAAATGTGAGAGATCAGGCTGGTGTTGAGGGGGCAGCAAGACTGGGGTAACAAAGTCTTAGACCGAATTGGAGTAGGGGTTTCAGAGTCAGATGGGGGGCAGCAAAGTTGCACCAGGTCATGGCAATGGTGCCTCTACGAAGTGCTGCAGGGTACAGTCATGGAAAGAGAGCTGCAGGTTATAATGTACATGGGTGGGTAACTAGGGCGAATGAAAGTAGGAAGAGGTTGAAGTTATTTGTACATCAGGGAAGCAGCAAGACTGGAGAGAAGCGATGAGTGTAAGGTAATAATGTGTCTAAGGTAATAATGTGTCTATTATATAGTTATACAAAAAAGGACCCGCCCCTCTCGTTTCACGCCTCGGTAGTTGCGGTGGTACAATAAGATTATTTTTTTTAATATGCTCATGGGGGGCCCGGCCGCCCGCAATCTTCACCGCTGAAATGCTGATGCCCGAAGCTGATGCCCAGATTCTTCTTCCCGGGAGGGGGCACATAGCGGCCGCCCTTGCTCTTCTTGTTCCTCAGCTTTTTAGTCGGCGGTTGGCCGTGGCCCCGGAGCCCGACTCCCGGCTGCTGCTCCTCCTCCTCCTCAACCTTTTTGCGCTTGTCGCCACCGCCGACAACAGAAGCGGTACCGCTCATCCTCGCGGCGTTCAACCGCACTGCAAACAGGCAACAACGCGGACACCACATGGCAACAGCGGGCCTTCGGGATATCCGGGCGCCGAAAGGCAAAGAAGGACCCCAAACCGGTTCGACAATGTGGGGGGAAAAATGTGTCTTAATATATGCCTGAACAAGTCCCTTCACATCTTCATCGATTTTTAAAAAATAAAACTCCCCTCCAAGTAAATACAGTAGCTCCACCATCAGGTAGCCAGCGAATCCCTGCGCCAGGATTCAACCGCCCCAACCCGCAGGTAGAAATGTCAGAAGTAAGGTGGACTGAGCCATTCCTGATCATCCAAATAATTTAGATCATGGTTCTAATCACATTTTTTCCTTTATGTTCCTCCACTCCCTCAACCATCAAAAATCTGCCTCGGCCATAAAACTCTTAATTGATTATTCAGCTTTGAAAGGGAGAGAGTTCCAAATTTTTGCCAGCAACTGTGTGAAAATTATATATTTTCCCCGCATGACTCATTTGACCCATCCAACCTATCATATCAAATATGGATCATGTGCCCTACCATCTTCCATCATCTTCTACAAGAATGATCCTGGGACCGAAGGGCTTGTCACTTGAGGATCAAATGGGGATTTTGGGTCTGTACTCAGGATGAGGGGGATCTCACTGAAACTTAGAGAATACTGATAGGCCTGGATAGAGTGGACACAGAGAAGAAGATGTTCCCACTCGTAGGAGAGATTAGGACCCGAGGGTACAGCCTCAGAGTGAAGGGACAACCCTTTAGAATTGAGATGAGGAGGAATTTCTTCAGCCTGAGAGTGGTGAACTTATTGCCGCAGAAGGCTGTGGAGGCAATTAATTGAGTGTATTTAAGACAGAAATAAATAGGTTCTTGATAAGTAAGGGGAATCAAGCCTTACAGGAAGAAGGCAGGTGAGTGGAGTTAAGGTACATGTCAACCACGATCGAATGGCAGAATAGACTTGATGGGCTGAATGGCCTAATTCTGCTTATATTCTTATATTCCAAGGTTTCAAAACTGCTGATCTGTGCCTGAACCCGTGGAATCTAACCTCAAGTTAAACAACCACCACTCCAGGATAAGACTTGCTGCCACATCACCCCTTTAAAGATTAAAAACCAAATTTAGTTTACCTGTCTAAATTAACTTTGAACTAGTCCAGTAGATTATTGTAATTTTTGAATTTGGATCCCAAAATCTGTTTGGCATCCGCTTCTTGCCATTTATTGCTGCTGTCATAGGGTTTAAGAGCAGGAGTAGGCCATTCAGTCTCTCATACCATTTGATAAGATTACGGCTCATCTGACTGTGACATTAACTCCACTTTTCTATTGGTGACCATGCAACAATTGTTAATTGTTGTAAAGACCCATCTGATGCAGTAATGTCGTCTACGGAAGGAAATCTGCCACTCTTACATGGTGTGGTTGACATGTAAATCCAAACCCACAGCAATGCAGTTGACTTTCAATTGCTCTCTGGGCAATAAGTATTGGTCTTGCCAGTGATGCACGTAAACTGGAAAAACACTTCTGTCAATTAATTATCGAAATCCTTTTGTACACTTACATCCTCTTGACAACTTATTTTCCTACTTTGTGTCATCAGCAAATTTAGCAATCATATTTTCAGCCCTTTCACATATGTCCTTGATGTAGATTGTAAATAGTTGAAATGCCAACAGTGATCCCTGCAAAACTCCACTAGTTACAGCTTGCCAAACCAAAAACAACTCATTTATACACACTGCTTTCTTCCAGCTAACCAATCCTTGGTCCAATACTAATAGATTCATACAGCATGGAAACAGACCGTTCAGTCCAACTCATCCATGCTGACCAAGTTTCCCCCCCAAACTAAACTATTTCCACTTGCCTGTGTTGGCCCATATCCCTCTACATCTTTCCTATTAATGTATCTCTTCAAATGTCTTTTAAATATTGTAACTGTACCTGTATCTGCCACTTCCTAGGGAAGTTCATTCCACATACAATCCACCCTCTGTGTGAAAAAGTTACCCCTCTTTCTCCTCTCACCTTAAAAATATGCCCCCTAGTTTTGTACTCCCCACCTTAGGGAAAATACCTTCGCTGTTTACCTTATCTATGTCCCCCCCATGAAATATATTGTTCCCGCAACCATGAGCTCTTATTTTGCATTGAAATCATTGATATGACACTTTATCAAATGCAATTTGGAAATCCATGTATATCGATATATCTACAGATTTCCTTTTATCTACCTTGTTTTGTATTTCCTCAAAGAACTCTTATCTTCCTTTCCACAAAATCATGTTGATTCTGCCTGATTGCATTGTGATTTTTCTAAATGTTCTCTATCTCTAATAATAATGGATTCTAGCATTTTCCCTATGATGTTAGGCTAATTGGCCAATAGCTTTCCCTCTTTTTAAATGAAGTTACATTTTCTATTTTACAATCCACTGTGACTTTTTCAGAACCTAGGGAACTTATATCACAACCAACGTATGCACCTCCTATCTTTGCAGCCCCATCTTTTAAGACCGTATTTGTAGAGTCATAGGCATACAGCATGGAAACAGGCACTTATGTCCAACTAGTCCACGCCAACCGAACTAAACTAACCCCACTTGCCTGTGTTTGGCCCATATCCCTCCAAACCTTTCCTATTCATGTACTTATCTAAATGTCTTTTAAATATTGTAACTGTACCTGCATCTACCACTTCCTCTGGTACTTCATCCCATACACGCACCTGTCTGTGTATAAAAAGTTGCCCCTCATGTATTTTTTAAAAATTTTCTTCTCTCACCTTAAAAGTATACCCTCTAGTTTTGAACTTCCCCACCCTAGAGAAAAGACCCTTGCTTTTCACCTTATCTATGCCCTTCATGATTTTATAAACCTCTTTTAAGATCACCTCTCCACTGAAAAAAGTTGTCCCAGTCTATTTTTATAACTCAAACCCTCCATTCCCGGCAACATCTGAGTAAATCCTTTATGAACCCTCTCTAATTTAGCAATATCCTTCCTATAGCAGGGCGACCAGAAGTGCAAACAGAGGCCTCTCTAGTCTTCTCTGCCATTCATTAGGATCTTAACTGATGTGACTGCAACCTCACTTTCCTGCCTACTGCTGTCAACCATTGACAACCCTTAGTCAAGAATCTACTTCTGCCATAAATGTATTCAATTAGCTCACCTTGACTACTCTCTGGGGAAGAATTTCAGAGACACAAAATTTTAAGAAAAAAAATCCTCAACTGTCTTAAATGGGAGACTCGTTTTATTAAAATTATGTTTCCTAGTTCGAGTCTCTCAGACAGAAAAAAAGCTTATTTTAGCATCCTGTCTAGTGCCCTCAGGATCTTACACATTTTAATGAGATCACCTCTTAATTCTCCCAAACTCCAATGATTATAGGCAGTCTGTTCAAACTTTCCTTGTAAAACAGCCCACCCATTCAAGGTATCAATCGAGTCAGTCTTTTCTGAACTGCTTCTCATGTATTTATCTGTTTTCTTCAATACGAAGATCAAGATTGTGCAAAGTACATCAGATTTGGCTCACAAACACGATACAATTATCATAAACATCCTGGCTTTGATGGTGATTTCAGTTCCTTCCTTTCTTGATTTTTAAGTGTTGGGATTTTATGTCCTGTACAGTGAAGACAAACAAAATCCCTGTTCAATGCTTTCATCATTTCCTTATCTCCCATTATTAATTCCCCAGTCTCCCACTCTCTAAGAAACCAAACTCTCTCTCTCTCCTGCAATCTAATTCCAATGTGTAATACACCAATGCTACCCAGAACTACCACCAAGCATCTGAAGTTTGAATCTCCTCTTAAAGCACCCCTGCTTAATAGATGTAAAGTTGCAAGCACTTAGAGTGTCTTTCTGCACAGGTTTAGCCTATCTCTATCTGAATCCTATTCCCCCCACCCCACTTGCACGCATCTCCTTCAAACTTTGTGTCAGGCACGTGGATAAAAGTCACAGATGTTTCACTGAGTGAAGCTGAACAGGCCACCAAGGACTGGAGGTGTCTGTAATGCAGTGTTCCCGGGATAGTGCTGTCAATCTCCAACTCTGGAGGAGCAACATGGCCTCATCTTCCACCAAGAAAGAGACAAAAACACAAATAATAAACACTGGTGCACCATTGGCACACGGGTCTTTTATTGCTGTTAGTTCTGTACAGAGGTGAAGTTAGAGCAATCAGACTGCTCTAGGGATCATTCTACAGCAGTGAGTGATTCATGCAATTCTCATCCCTTCTCTCTGAAATGCATAGTTTAATGCAAGCTGCCTCATGCATCTAGAAAACATTTAGCACTGTAATTCGATAAAAAAAGATTCAAATAACAAATTTAGACAGCAGAATGTTATAAATCCAGCCCAGCACCGACCTATTGAAGAGAGATTTGAAGACTGAGGCATTGTGCTGTAACCAAAGAATTTGACCCGTTCTAGTTTGATCAGTCAGTGCAGATGGTTGGCAGGGGGAGGAGAGCAGGTGATAAAGTACCATCTATCCCAGCTCGCGGCTTGAAGCCTTATTTACATGTAGTTTGTTCAAATTTAGCAATTAGATTGTCCATTAATGTAGCTTCCTATTCAGTGTTTAGCGTAGATCAATTCAGCATAAACAAATCTGACCTGTACCCATATGGTACTCAAAAAGACGGATGCTAGGGAATGGGACATTTTTAACCGCTCTGGTCCTTTATTCCTTGACATACTCTCAAGGCAGACACCTCAACTATGAGTTAAAGACAGGGGCTAACAGCTGTATTCTGTTCAACAACTCACAACAACTGGGATGGAGACTTGATCATAGCTTCCACTTCTGATTTAGGAGATAAAATGGGGGAAATCAAAACACACTGCAAACCACAGCAAACCAACAGCAGTCAAATCTGTCCACAGATTCAATGAGAGATCACCAGTGGAATACACCCAGTGCTCCCTCAATCCTCAAAGTCCATATCCTGTTGGCCATACAGCACAATGCCTCACATTCTCAGTCTCTTTACAAGAGAATTAGCTTTGCTGACTGAACGATAATGAACAGAATGGTATATCTGCCGTATATTTTAATTCCTATTGCTCAGTGTCTG